TGAAGAACTGCAATATGTATAAGAGACTCCTATTTCTGACTATACTATCAATAGATGTGCCCACAGTTCATTGGGTCTCACAAAGAACATCGTAATTCCCACATGTTCTGTTACCACAATTTGGATGGCAATTACATTTTTATCAGCAAGCAGTTATTGATACTAATTATGTCTCAGGTTGTCTTATAAGCTCAAGGGATAGAGGAACATATAAAATATTGAATTCTCAATGGATAGTTTTATATCTTAGACCTAGGACCTAGAGATGTCCTAGGCAATCTTAATTTTTTTGGCACCCTCCAATTCACTCCCAAGTAATTTACTTGCATCCTTTAGCTCCTTGAATCCTCTTTACCCAAATTTTGTACAAAAGGAACCAGGAAGAGTAGCAAGCTCATGGTAGCCGCTCAATCAATGGGTTTGGAACAAATGAGGACATTTAAGTAAAAATCTAGAGGTAAATTGCCTGTGCCCACAGAGCTATTACTTGACAGTGCTGAACTTGAACCCATATCTATCTATTTTCAAAGCCCTTTCTATTTGCACACCAAAAAGCTGCTGATGATTGATAAAAATAATGACTAATATTTATTAAACTTTTGTGATATGTCAGACGCTATTCTAACTGTTTCATATGCATTAAGTCAATGCTTCATTTGAATAAAAAACTTACAAAAACTTCACTGACAGAAAATCTTTTGTGATAGATGTTGGTATCCCCACTTTTCATGTCAAGTAACAAAGACTGAAAAGTTATGGAATTTTCTTAGCATTATCAGCTATGTAAATTATATAGAGAAAATTGAACACAGACAGGCTTATTCAAGGACCCATCTTATTATCTAGAGTGAACCTGGTTTACAGAACAAAGACTGTGAAAGATTTAGGAGAGTAAGGGCACAGTCACTAGAGGTATGGAGAATGATGACTATAGAAAATTTCAGATAAGGGTATATTAATAGACACAACCTACCTAAATTCTCTCTTCTGGTAGTTTAAAATCATGATCAGTAGAGTCTTAGATAACTTGTGGTCATATCTCAGGCCCACTGTAGAGTCTGAGGGTGCATCAATTGGACTCCTACTTACAGTGGTTCTCCTTGTATCTGTTATATATTTTAGGCTTCTCTATATGGTTTAATTTTGAATAATGGTTTTATAGTACTAAAAGTCAGAAAAGTCATTTTCCTACTTATAATATCTGGGTGTAGTCATCAAAGCTTCCTCTAATATCTCTGCTGGTGGGGAATTAATTACACAGTGATATGGCTTATTTTAGTTTCTGATATATCTGTATATTAGATAGATCTTTGCTTTATAATCCAAACTTGATCTGCCTGTAAATACATATTTCAAAAGCAAATAACATCTTTTGATGGCCTAGAATTTGGTGTATCTTGGTAAATTTTCCATGCACATTGAAAAGAATGTGTATTCTGCTGTTGCTGCGTAGATTTCTCTGTAAGGGTCAATTGGGTCAACTTGACTGATGGTGGTGTTTAGATTTTCTGTGTGTTTATTGACTTTCTTAATATTTGTTCTATCAATTACTGAGAGACAAGTGTTGAAGACTTCAACTTTAGTTGTAGATTTGTCTATTTCTCCTTTCAGTTCTATCAGCTTTTATTTCATATATTTGAAAGCTCTATTGTTAGGTGATTAAACATTCAGGATTGCTATGTCTTCTTGGAGAATAAACTTATCCCTGTAATATTCCCTATTTCGAAGCCCACTTAGTCTGATGCAGTATTGTTACTTAATTTTTTAAAATTAGTTTGTGAATGTTATATCTTTTCCCATCCTTCTACTTTAAACCTTAGTATATCTTTGTATCTGAAGGCATGGAAAACATAACATTGCATCTTGCTTTTTATCCAGTCTGATAATCTCCATCTTTTAATACACCTATGTGTGTTTTGATTATGGTTACTCTAATTATTTGATATACTTTGATTAATATCTGCTATTTTGCTAGCTATTTTCTATTTGCTCAATCTTTATTTTTTTTCTTACTTTTCACTTTCTTTCGAATTGAGTATTAATAATCCCATGGTGTCTCCACTTTGGCTTATGTATGTGTATCTCTTTTTAAAAATGCTTTCAGTGGTAGCCATAGGATTTATAGTGTGCATCTTTGGCTAATCGGCATCTATATCTTCAAATACGAACAGGGCATGATGGCTCACATCTATAATCCCAGCTCTTTGGGAGGCTGAAATAGGAGGATTGTTTGAGGCCAGCAATTTGAGGCCAGCCTGCGCAACACAATGAGAATTCATCTCCTAAAGTAACTAACTAAATAAAAATTAGCCAGGTGTGGTGGCACATGCCTCCAGTCCCAGCGACTTGAAAGGCTGAGGTGGGACGATTACTTGAGCCTAGGAGTTCAAGGCTGCAGTGAGCTATGATCATGCCACTGCACTCTCTGAGTGGGCAACAGAATGAGATTTTGTTTCAAATAAAAAGAAAAAGAAATAAAATGATATCACTTCAGGTGTAGTTTAAGTACCTTAAACGAGAGTGACTCCTAGTTCCTCCTCCCAACATTCGTGCTACTGTCAGTCATTTTACTTTTATACACGATATACAAAGAATATACATATTGCTATTATTTTACTGTAGATTTTTAAATAATCTTTATGAATAATTAAAAAATAATTTTTAAAGGCTTTATCTGTACTTTCTTATATGCCATTTTTAGGAGTTTTCATTTCTTTTCATAGACCCAAGTGTCTGTCTGGTTAATTCCTTCTGCCCAGAGAATTTCCTTTGTACTGCAGGCATGCTAGTAATAAATTCTGTCAGTTCTTGTTTGACTAAAAAAGTTTTATGATTCCTTCATTAAAAACATTTTCTTTTCACCATGGATAGAATTTTACTTTACAGTATTTTTTTTCTTCCTCTCAAGACTTTAAAGATGCTACTCCATTATCTTCTGGAGTAAAGATGTTACTCCATTATCTTCTGGCTTATATAGCTTCTGACAAAAAGTCTTTGTTTTTTTATGGATGTAATATGTCTTTTTTCAGTTTCGCTGCCTTCAAGATTTTATTTCTGCCTTTGTTCTACAGCAGTTCAAATACAATATATATAGTGGGGTGTGTGTGTGTGTGTGTGTGTGTGTCCTGTTTCATATTCTCTGGGCTTTCTGGATATGTGATTTAATGTCTTTCATTAATTTTAGAAAATTTTCAGCCATTATCTCTTCAAAGATTTCTTTTGTCCCATTCTCTCTCTTCTCTGGAATTCCAAAGACATGTACTAAATGTTAAATAGTTTGATATTTTGAATAGCTCTAGGGTGACCTACTATTTTTTCCACTACTCTTGCTCTGTTTGTATGTTGTATTTCAGATTGTATAATTTCTAATTACCTACCTTCAAGTTCTATATTAATTTTTCAGTTGCATCAGATCTACTGATGAGCCCATCAAAGGCATGCTTCATCTCTATTATACTTTTATTCATTTCTAACATTTGCAATTAATTATTTCTTAAAAATTTGATCTCTTTCCTAAATTCATTCAACTGATCATGCAACTTATGTATCTTTTTCACTAGAGTCTTTAACATCTTAATCAGTTGTTTTAAATTCCCTGACATTTTCAACATCTATTTCATTTCTGAGTCTGGTTCCATTGATTGAGCTGTTCCTTGACATTATGTTTTATTTCTTTCTGTCTTATATTTTTGTATACCTCATAATATTTTTATATGACAAGACTGAGATATGTAATTTTTATGAATCAATTGGGTATACTATTAATTTTGCCAGGATTTTGGGGGAAGATAGTCTTTGGTTTGAGTCATTTAAGTCAAAAATTAACCTCAGTTTGAGATTTGTTAATGATATGCTTATGGTATTTGGCCATTCTTGCATTGCTATAAAGAAATACCTGAGGCTGGGGAATTTATTTTATAAAAAGAAGCTTAATTGGCTCATTGTTCTACAGGTTTTATAGGAAGCAAGTTGCTGGTGTCTGTTTCTGGTGAGGCCACAGGAAGCATACAATTATGGAAGATGATGACAGGGAGCCAATATGTCACACAGTGAGAGTGAGAGCAACAGAGAGAGTGGAGGGAGATACCACACTCTTTTAAACAACCAAATCTCATGTGAACACACTCATTATGAAGGGGATGGCACTAAGCCATTCATGAGGGATCTGCTCCCATGATTCAGAGACCTCCCACCAGATTCCACCTCCAAAACTGGGGATTAGATTTCAACATTAGCTTTGAAAGGGACGAACATCCAAACTATATCATTCTCCCTCTGGCCCCCAAATCTCCTGTACTTCTTACATTGCAAAATACAATCATTTTTTCCCAAAGTCCCCCAAAGTCTTAGCTCTTCCCAACATCAAGTCCTAAGTCTCATCTGAGACTTATATCCTTCCACCTAGGAGCCTGTAAAATCAAAATAAATTATTTACTTCCAAGATACAATGGAGATACAGGCACTGATTAAACATTCCCATTTTAAAAGAGAGTCAAATTGGCCAAAATAAGGGGGCTGCAGGCTCCACACAAGTCTTAAATCCAGTAGGACTGTCATTAAATCTTAAAGTTTCAAGATAATCACCTTTGATTCTTTGCCCTGAATCTTGGTATGAGGGGTGGGCTTCTAAGGCATTGGGCAGCCCCACTCCTGTGGCTTCCCTGGGTGAAGCCCATGTAGCTGCTTTCATGGGTTGTAGTTGAATGCCTGTGACTTTTCCAGGCTCAGGATGTAAGCTACTAGTGGATCTACCATTTTAGGGGCTGGAAGGTAGAGGCCCCATTCCTACCAGTGAATTCACTGGCAGTGTCTCAGTGAGGACTCTGTGTGGAGGCTCCAACCCCACATTTTCCTTTGGCACTACCCTAGCAGAGACTCTCTGTGGGGGCTCTGCTCCTGTACAGGCTTCTGCCTGGTCACCCACGCTTTCTTACATATCCTCTGAAATCTAGGTAGAAGTTACCAAGCCTCCTTTACTTTTGCGTGCTAAATACTTGCAGGCTTAACACAATATGGAAGCCACCAAGGCTTACAGAATGTGCTTTCCAGAGCTATGACCTGAGCTGTACCTGGGGCCTTTTGAGTGAGGCTGGAACTGGAGTGGCCTAGATGCAGAGAGCAGTGTCCTAAGGCTGTGCAGGTCAGTGGGCACCTGGGTCTGGCCCATGAAATCATTCTTTGCTCCTTGGTCTCTGAGCCTGTGATGAGAGAGGTTGCCTTGAAGATGTCCAAAATGCCTTTCAGGCCTTTCCCTGTTGTCTTGGTTACTAGCACTTGGCTCCCTTTTAATCATGCTGATCTCTCCAGCAAGTGGGTCCTCTGCAGCCTGCTTAGATTCTCCCCTTGAAAATGAGCTTTTCTTTTCTACCACATGGCGAAGCTACATATTTTCCAAATTTTTATACTTTGCTTTCTTTTTAAATATAAATCCCAGCTTTAAGTCATTTCTTTGCTCCTGCATCTGAGTATAAGCTGTTAGAAGCAGTCGGGTCACATCTTAAATGCTTTGCTGCTTAGAAATTTCTTCTGCCACATATCCTAAGTCATCACTCTTAATTTCAGGCTTCCAAAGATCTCTACAGCATAAACACAATGCTGCCAAGTTCTTTGCTAAGGCATAACAAGGGTGACCTTTGCTCCAGTTCTCAGTAAGTTCCTCATTTCCATTTGAAACCTCATCAACCTGGACTTCACTGTCCATATCACTTTCAGCATTTTGGTCTCAATCATTTAACCAGCCTCTAAGAAGTTTCACACATTCCTTCATCTTCCTATTTTCTTCTGCACTCTTCAAAGTCTTCTTATCTCAGGCCTATTACCCAGTTCCAAAGTTGCTCCCACATTTTCAGGTATCTTTATAGCAATGCCCCACTCCTCAGTACCAATTTTCTGTGTTAATCCATTCTTACATTGCTATAAAGAATACCTGAGGCTGGGTAGCCTATAAAGAAAAAAAAAGGCCCAGGGGCAGTGGCTGATGCCTGTAATCTAAGCACTTTGGGAGGCCATAGCGGGTGGATCGCCTGAGGTCAGGAGTTCAAGACCAGTCTGGCTAACATGGTGAAACCTCATCTCTACTAAAAATGCAAAAATTATTACTTTTTTTTGGTGGTGGGTGCCTGTAATCTCAGCTACTCAGGAGGCTGAAGCAGGAGAAATGCTTGAACCCAGGAGGTGGAGGTTGCAGTGAGTTGAGATCATACCACTTCACTTCACATATACTTCACATATACTTCAGCCTGAGCAACAAAGTGAGACTCTGTCTCAAAAAAAAAAGAAAAAAGGTTTAATTGACTCATGATTCTTCAGGCTTTACAGAAAACGTAATGCTGACATCTGCTTCTGGTGAAGCCTCAGGAAGCTTACAGTCATGGCAGAAGGTGACAGGGAGCCAGCATATCCCATGGTAAGAGCGGGACCAAGAGAGAGAGGGAGGAGGTGCCACGCCCTTTTAAACAACCAGATCTTATGTGAACTCACTCATCACCAAGCGGACAGTGCTAAGCCATTTACAAGGGATCCATCCCCATGATTCAAACATCTCCTCCCTGCCTCACCTCCAACACTGGGGATTACATTTCCATGAGAGATTTAGAGGGGACAAATATCCAAATTATATAACTTACCTTTCCTGCACAATAAGATTTAAGTTCTAGAGGTATGTTGTGTTTAGACTGCAGACTCATGTGCAAGATGTGTTCCTCAGGATCTGCTCCACCGTCAGGTTTAGGTCTTTTCTTTTCTCTGATGTTATAAGATGATTTTTTCACATGTTCTTGTCCTCTCATAGCAGGAACCTGCTGCTGACTGAGGAGAGGAACAGAGTGTTTTCTGCTGTTTGAATTGAGGCTCAGTTTCACATAGGCATTGTGTTCCTGAATACCCTGATAGTGGTGCCTTCTCCATGATACTGCCCTTTCCTAAACTGCAAGAGACCTGTTTATCTGAGCTCAGCATGTATTCTTGCTTTTCTTTCAGAGATAGAGAGTCTATTTTTATTTCTTCTCCGCAGATGCAGTGGGTCTTCACCGCTGTCCCAAGGCCAACATTGTTTGTTGCCTTTTTCTTACAAGCTTAAGCTATGTGTTCTACAGAAGAGATATAGTGAAGAATCTCTGTAAGGGTTTATTCCAATCCTACACTGGCTGCTATTTTTCTCTTTGAAATATGAGCCATGAAGAAATTTTTCTTAGGATTCTCACCCTGCCTCCAATCATCTTACAGCTGATGAAATTTGTAGTCTATTGAGAAGAGCCAATGAATAGCGTGAATCCCATTTCTCTGTGGCTTCCAGGGATTCCATAATCTTATGTTAACCCATACTCAGCCTTTACCAATTTTTAAAACATTAGTTGAATTATCATCAACAGGCTGTATGGTTACTGGGGGTGTCTATCCTAAGAAAACATGTATTCATGTCCTGGCTCTTCCTGAAGGCATTTTTCTTACTTTTTATTTAGGACCAGTTTGTTGTCTTGCGACCTCAGTTCTCTGATTAGTTACAAAAATAAAGATAAAAATAAAAAGCTGTGAATTTGCAGAACCTTTTTTTTTTTTTTTGAGATGGAGTCTCGCTCTGTCGCCCAGGCTGGAGTGCAGTGGCCCGATCTCAGCTCACTGCAAGCTCCGCCTCCCGGGTTCACGCCATTCTCCTGCCTCAGCCTCCCGAGTAGCTGGGACTACAGGCGCCCGCCACCACGCCCGACTAGTTTTTTGTATTTTTTTTTTGTAGATACGGGGTTTCACCGTGTTAGCCAGGATGGTCTCCATCTCCTGACCTCGTGATCCACACGTCTCGGCCTCCCAAAGTGCTGGGATTACAGGCTTGAGCCACCGCGCCTGGCCAAATTTGCAGATTCTTTAGCATTATGTTCTAGTACCTGTAGGAGTGCTACTCTTTCCTGCTTTCTATATCCTAAGTAGAAGCCAAAAGTCTTTCACAGCTTTTTTTTTTCCACGTTTATTGAGGTATAATTGATAAATATTATATATATTTAAGGTGCATAGCTTGATGTCTTGATACACATATACATTTTGAAATAATCACTATAATCAAGGTAATTAATATATCCACCATCTCATCAATATGAAATAACTATTTACCATTTTCTGTTCTCTCTTTTTTTTTTTTCTGGCAGTAAAAACAGTCATCTACCCTCTTAGCAATTTGCACAGCATTCTTTGTGATGGAGTCACAGACACTAAATGGAAGGTTTCCATTGATCTTTCTTTCTATGATTCAAGGAATTTAATTTAATAAACACTTTTGACCATGTAGGACTCCCAGATCTTGCCTTCAGGCAGCTCATAGTCTGCAAGGACGAAAAAATACAGCAACAGATAATTTTTGAATAGCAAGTAAGTGCTAAAATATAGGTAATCTATGCTAACAAATAAAGGGGATAAATGGCTCACTGCTTGGGTAAAAAACACTTAGATTTTCTAGGGGAGGTGACACTTGCATTAGTTCTTAAAACAAAAATATTTTACCAGCATAGAAAGCTGGGTAGAACCTTCTAAAAAGAAGAAACATCATATTTTGAGTTGTGGATTTAGCATTATTTGTCTGAACAAATTTATATGTGTAGAATAATATTATGCTCCACTCACAGACCCTGTTGTTAACAATTTCATGTAAGGACACTCAAACATTTCCCCCTGGCATATGTTTATTTATTTGTGTAAAATGAAATAATATAGTGTATTCTGAAAGATCTGATGACTGCTTAATAATCCAATGGTGCTGAATAATTCACATTTTCTCTTGTTTAACATTTCACTTATTTTTATTTATTTTGCTTTTGTAAATGATTGTTATAAATGTCTTTTAGGTGCAGTATATATATTTTTTCATTCCTTTTGGATAATTTTATTGGATATATTTATATAAGGGAGTTTCTGAATTAAAGACTACTGACATTTCCAAGACTTTGGTACTTGCTACCAAATTGCTTTTCAAAGTGGTGGCTCCAATATTTGCTTTCTCAGTAGTTTATGAAAGTGCTCATCTCATCACATATTCACAGGAATACGGTATCTGCATTAAAAAAATCTTGGCTAATTTGGTAGCTAAAATGGCATTTTATTAACGTTTAGAAGTTTGTATTATTTGAATATAAGTATGTCTCATAACTTGAAATATTTCTATTAACCATTTTGCTTCCTCTTTTGTAAATCCTCCTTTTATGCCCTTTGCCCAATTATATATTGAAAAATCTGGTTTTTGGTTTCTCTTTGAGAGTTGTAGGTTATTGTATTATATTTATTGGCTCTAATATTATGAAATCTTCCTTTTAAACCCTAGAGCAGGAGTGCCTAAATCTGACTGCTCAAAAATGCCTTTGGAGCTTTAAAAATGTATACATTCTTGGGCCCGACCTGATTCAGTAGTTCTAGTGCAAAGCTCAGGAATCTGCATAAAAATTTCAGAGAATTCTGACGTGTTAGCTCGGTTGAAGAACCCCTGCTCTTGTCTCCTATAGTCCAGTTACTCTGTTTTGTTATCATATTTAGCCTCATAGGGTCTGCTCTTCATCTGAGAGTAAGCTGGTGAAGGTTGTGTTGCAGAGGATGAGCCTGGAGAACACTGGCTTTTCAGATGGGCTGGTGTTTAAATTCCAACTTCGGTGCTTGCTAAGAGGGGAGACTAGGGCATCTTGGCTGTTTCATTTTCCTCATCTTTAAATGAGGAGAATAATATTTTCTGTATTTAGCACTTTACTACTAAATCAAGGCTACCAGTTACTAAATTTTTGTAATGGTTCTGGGATAAGATAGTAAGGGTCTGAAAGAGAAGGAAAGAACATAGCCATTAGATGAAAGAATTGGAAGGTTATACTCTCCTCTCCTCACTCTTACCGAATGCTGAATGTGGTAGGTATTATGAGAAGCAGTAAAACTGTGTTATCTCATTTATTCTTTTTTTTTCTTTCTCTTTCTTTTTTTTTTGTATTATACTTTAAGTTCTAGGGTACATGTGGATAACGTGCAGGTTTGTTACATATGTATACCTGTGCCATGTTGGCGTGCTGCACCCATCAACTCGTCAACACCCATCAACTTGTCATTTACATCAGGTATAACTCCCAATGCAATCCCTCCCCCCTCCCCCCTCCCCGTGATAGGCCCCGGTGTGTGATG